TAATGAAATTAAATATTGGAAGGGCAAATGTATCATTTTAGAATGCGATTCCAATCGTGCCATTTCTATGGCATATCCTTTTAGGACACAATAGTCCAATCCAATATTTATGAGATTTATAGTTTGGTATAACTTCTAATCTAACAAATAAATTTTTAACCTAACATATAAATTTTTAACCAAACAATCAACTCCATTATAAATTGGATATGGAATCTAATCACACCCTCCAATCCTTCCAAAATAAAGAGTAATACAAATGGAAGGGGCAAAGTTGTCATGGTAGAGTTAACGATTCAAAATAAAAAATGGAACCCAAAAAAAAATATTGATAATTGATGTAGGCCGAAAGGTACCGCATTAAGGCCACTTAAGTTACATTTTTAGTCTTTTAATTTTATTTATTTGGTGGAGAAGATATGTTTCGTGTACTTGTACAGATTTGGTAGGAAATATGAAAATTCAATCAAAAAGGGCGCGAAAGCAGATCCTTCGAGCAAGAAGTGAAGAATCCGAGCAAGCCCACCACGAAGTGACCCACATGGGCGCTCAAACGGCCCACCTAGGGATGCGTGCATGGAATTTTTGGTTTGTTTTGTTCCGAATAAAAGACAAAAAAATAGCCAAAATGAAGGTTCGAAAATTAATTCAAAGAAAAGGGAGGCTGGGGTTCCAAAGAGGCGATATTCTACCAAAGCTTGAAGGAAACTTCCATGGGATTTTTTCCTCATCTTCTTCCTCCTCCATGAGTGGTTAGTGGTCTTTTCTAAGATTTTGATGAAACCCTAGCCATGTAATAGGATTTCTCATTAGCTTTAATTTTGAATTGGTTTGAATAGATGTATGGATGATTTAGAAGTTTTTAATATTCGTTTCTTTCATCTCTTCAAGTATTTTTACTTTCTGTGATTGTCTAATGCTTTCCATACATTAGTTTTATTTGTGTTTGTATTCAAAGTATGGGACGAGTCATGCTCTGAGAGACATGTCGTGTTGCTATTATAGTTTAGAGCAAACGACTCGTATTATTCCAGATGATTCGTGCCTGTGCGTTGAATGCAACAACCCTCTTGATCAATATTTCAAACTTGTAGTTGTGAAATATTGGGTAGTTCAAACCGAATCGCAATTGGTGGCTGATGTTAAATCTCATTCATGTAGTTAGTGGTGAATTCTCTATCCTAGGATTTTTTCCGAAAATTAATAACTCAAACCCTAATTTTAGTTGTTAGTCTAATTCCTCAATTTCTTTTAATTGCTGCTTAGTTATAAAATCAATCTTATCTTTTTAATCAAAATTAATTTAGGAAAATTACGATTGAATTAATCTAATTTCTCATTTGTCCCTGCGGATCGATACTTGGACTTGCCATTATTTTGATAGAATTTGGTATAGTTTAGTGATTTATTTTTGGTCTGTTCAACAACCCATCAATAATATATTTCAAAGCATAAAATGATCAGCTAACTGCTAAGTATTTTTTTTAAGGTCTAGCTTGTCTCAGGTTGAGATTAAGATTGGACCGTTTAGTTTGGCTTATGGGTTTATTTTTGGGCCTTGTTTTAATAATTTGAACTGTTTAACGTATAGAATTCGTTGAGTACTGTATACCTGTAAAAAATTAAGTTGATCAGATTAGAATTCTGTCAACTGTTTATTTTTTTACCGTTCATTTTTTAATAAAAATACGATCCGATCAAATAGCTGTTAATATCCGATCAACGTGATTTTTTACAAGAATATAGTAATCGACGAGTTCTACATATTAACGGTTCGAATTATCAAAACGAGATAAAAAATAAGCCCTTAAGCCGGATTGAATGAATCTAGTATTGATGAGACAAGTTGGTTTGTTTTTTAAAACCTTTTTGAAAATTATTCATGAAACCTACGTAGCAGCAGATCACGTAGCACATGGTGTGCCATCAGTTGTGTCATGCTGGACCACAATAATGCGTTTCTGATAAGTTTGAATGTTTTTCACATATATATACACGCAATAAATAATGTTTTGATGATTTTATTAATATTTTATTTAGAGATTGAATTAAATTTGTCATTTAATTTGAGAAAATATTTAAATTTGGTGAGTTCATTTTAAGATCAATCTCAATCATTTTTTATGATTTATTTAGTAGAATATTTATATAAAAAATAAGATAATTAAATATTAATAATTATATATTTAAATCATATTTATTTTTAAAAATAAAATGTAATTATAATTTTAAAAATAGTCATTATTTTTTTATATCCCGGCAAAATGAGGGATTGAATTTGAGCATATAAGAAAGACAAACACACTCGCAGTGGGAAGTGTTTTGAATTAGGAGAGGAAGGAGAAATGGCTGAGAGCAAGGGGGACGCACAATTTTAATGAAAAATGCTGTGAACTCTATTTAAATATTTTGAATTTATTTTTGAATGAAAGTTGTGTAGTTGATATTAAATTTGTGTAAAATGAGATTTATGTGTATAATACATCTAAATTATAAGATGATAATTTTAAATAATTAAGTCTTAATTAATAATATTACTAAATTGTGATTGAAAGAGAGGGGTTGAAAGGTCTTTATCTCATAATGACAAGATGCTACTTACTTACACTTGATTAGGGAGACAAGCCCATAAAGATTGGTTATTTGGAAGCGCGTATATATATAAAAGTAAAATCCACATTTGGGAGTTGGTCCACATCATCAACAAGACGGAGAAGAGAGAATGTGATGAAATTACAGTAATTTTTACTTTTTAAAATTTGACCATTAAATTGTTAATATGAGAGTTTTGTATGTGTTGAGTAAGTAAAGATGTGAGAACAAAATTTAAAGAGTAATGTTAGAGACTCTAAATATTTTACCAAAAGTTTTACCAAATGTCTCACATGAGTGTGGAACCCACACAAGGTGGGTCTCATGTGGGTCCCAGTGAAACATTTGATAAAACTTTTGGTAGAATTTTTGGGGCCTCTAGCATTTTTGAAATTTAAAATTTTGAGTTTGAGTCAATTTAAGGGACTATTAAAAGTTTGTCCGAGTGTTGATTTTAAGATTTGAAATTAGTTGAGTGGTGCAAATAAGTTTGTCTAAACACGTAATTATAAAAATTGAACAAAAACAATGAATAATATAATGGATCATGTTATAGTATTGGGGAAATTTCACTTTAGGGTAATTTTGAAAAATAATTATAAATAAGTAGTAAATTTTATAAATATTGATATTTAAAAACATAATTTTTTTTAATGAAAATGTAATAAATTTTTGAAACAGCCACTTATTAGTAATTTTTCCTATAATATACATTGTTTGTATTATATGTAATTTTTTTTATTAATTTAAATCATTAACATAACATAAAATAAACACAATCATTAACATAATATATTATTGTTAATTTCTTTGATTGATTTTATATATGTTCGAAATTCCTCAACTTATTTGTTCTTTTAAAAATGCGTTTTGAGGATATTTCTACATAAGGTTGACGTAAAAATTAATATCCACCGCCGGATATATTAATTAATGGTCCCGAATCATGGCCCACTAACATGATCAATGCGTTGGATTCCTATAACAATAGGGGTAATTATTTAATAATTTTGAAGTATAGACATATAATATTTTATAATATTGTGATTGGTAGAGAAGATGTATTATATTAGATGATTGTGAAATATGGAGATATAATAAATTATGATTGGTTAGAAATACGAACACATGATACTACTCTGGGAATAGTCTATAATTTCCCAATACAAAAATGCTAGAGGCCCCAAATATTTTACCAAAAATTTTACCAAATGTCTCACATAGGTGTGGGACCACAAGAGGCCCCAAATATCAAGAGGCCCCAAATATTTTACCATGTGAGACATTTGGTAAAATTTTTGGTAGAATATGTGGGTCCCACACCCATGTGAGATATTTGGTAAAATTTTTGGTAGAATATTTGGGACCTCTAGCATTACTCTTTCAGAATAATATGTAGTATGTATGTATGTTCAAGTTCATCCATTTGACGGGCCATGCATGATCGTCATCGTCACTTGACCGCTGTTCCATACAAGCCATAGATCTTTCTGATCAACATAATCAGTCAAACCTTCACTAGTTTGTGTTTGTTTTTGAAGGATTGAATTTGATGGGTTTAACATTTTTAAAACTCTTAATTTTGACATTATCAATTAATTTTATTTATATATTTTATTTTATATTTAGATTGACTCAGAAAAATAATTAATAAAATCGTAGCATTTTTTGAATTCAATAGTCCCCTATTAGTTAATTTTATTCCTAATCTAAACATATTGTGTATTTTATTAAATTATGTATTTTAATCTCAAATCCAAATCTATCTAAACAAATATGCCCTAATTTCTCATATGATCTGATATGGCGTAGGTGAGCATTGGATCTTTTATTCTCAAATCACTCAATTCTCCTATTTCAAAACAATCACATTCTCTGGTTGAGTGATATCTTGAGATTATTCCTTTAAAAAAATTTCAATGATTCATTAGTTAAAAAAGTTTTTAAATTAGAAAAAAATAAAATTAAAAACAGTGAATGGTTGTGGTTGACCAAGTATAGTTCTTGGAAAATTACTCCATGAAAAGCTAGCAACGAGTTACAAGGAAGTTTCATATACGTATGATGACTGTGAGCAGAGCAGACTTGGATTTACAATTACTACAGCATCTAAACCCGTGTAAGACATCAAATTAGGGTTCTTTCTTGCAGAGGAGTGCAAGCAAGCAACCACATTGAATGCCACGCGGTATTCGGTGATGCAAAAAGAGCCACACAGAGAGAGAGAGAGAGAGAGAGAGAGAGAGAGAGAGACAGCAGACTTTAGGTACCCATATATAATACACCCCATTCAGTAAATGCTCTTGCTGTCAAAACCCCCTTTTGACTCTTTAGGTACCCCTCTTGCTTTTTCTAGGTCAGCGTCCTCAAAAACTAGGGTGTCTCTTAAATTTATATATATATATAGATCAACAACGACCTTTGCATAAGGGTAACACTAAGACCCTTGTCTCAGCTTTTCATAAAGAATAAAGCAAGCAAGAGATATATATAGAGAGTAGACTTTGATTGAAGAAACACCACAAAGACACAAATTTCACAAGAAAACAAAGGGGGAGGTGATATGGGTAGGTCACCATGCTGTGATAAAGTGGGAGTGAAGAAAGGACCGTGGACTCCTGAAGAAGATATCATGTTAGTCTCTTATGTTCAAGAACATGGTCCTGGGAATTGGAGGGCTGTTCCTACCAATACAGGTATACCACATGTTTCTCTCTCTCTCCACTCCTCGTTAAATGTTATTCTACATTTGAGTTTCATTTCATATACTTGCTTCGTCGGTGGGTTTATAGTACTGTTCTGGTTTGGTGTGTTCATTGAAGAAAAACCATCAATGTGAGAGAGAGAGAGAGAGAGAGAGAGAGAAACTGTTAACTGATGAGTTTGTTGTACATGTGTGTTAATGGGTATGTCAGGGTTGCGTAGATGCAGTAAGAGTTGCAGGCTTCGATGGGCTAATTATCTCAGGCCAGGGATCAAGAGGGGTAGCTTCACAGATCATGAAGAGAAGATCATCATCCAACTTCAAGCTCTTTTAGGCAACAAGTACCCCCCCTCCCTTTCTCTCTCTCTCTCTCTCTCATTCTCTCTCTCTCTTAGTTGCAGCGTCATTTTTTGGTTAAGAATCTTCTGTCCTCGAATCTCCGATTTAAAACACTTAACAAGTTTTTTGGATCAACATAACACACGTACAAGCTCACAATAATCATAGTTTTGAAAATCCTAAAACATGATCTAATGACTATAGTCTATAACTGTGATTGCTTATTTTGAATCAAGATTACGTGTTCCCTTATATGCCTCAATTCTCTATTCCCTACATGTTTTTTTTTTTAGAAAGGCTAATCCTTACATGTAATTGGTTCCTAAGATTATTTATGACCTAATAAGATTCAAGGAGACAGAGAATGCTATATAAAAGGGGATAAAAGATCGCATATTTAAGATTCTAGAGAGGCAGAAATTTAGAATCCTGTGCCCTTTTGTAGCTTTGAATGTTTGGGAGTTGCGATTTGGTTTCTAGTGTGTTAATGTAATGTAATGTCACTGGTTTTTGTGCAGATGGGCTGCCATAGCTTCTTACTTACCCGAGAGAACCGACAATGACATTAAAAACTACTGGAATACCCATTTGAAGAAGAAGCTCAAGAAGCTTCAAGAGCAAGAAGCCTTTGATGATCATCACTCTCAAGTTGGGTTTTCAACCTCACACTCAATCTCTAGGGGTCAATGGGAGAAAAAGCTACAAACTGATATCAACAAGGCCAAACAAGCCCTACATGAAGCCTTGTCTTTGGAGAAACCAAGCCTGATTGTACCTGAATTGAAGCCCTCTAATGGGTATTACTCTTATACTAAACCAACAACCCAAGGACCTACCTATGCATCAAGCACTGAGAACATAGCTAGATTGCTAAAAGGGTGGATGAAAAATTCACCAAAACAAGCTCATGCAAACTCTTCAAGTACTCAGAATTCTATGTCTTGTGAAGAGACTTTAAGTGTTCCAAACAATAGTGGTATTGATTTGTCTGAGGCATTTGAATCGCTGTTCGGTTTTGAGTCCTTGGACTCATCAAATTCTGATTTTTCTCAATCTATGTCACCTGAGGCTAGTCTTCTTCAAGGGGAAAGTAAACCAGATCTTGGTATGCATGTGCCATTGTCAATGCTTGAGAATTGGTTGTTTGATGAAGGTGTTGTTCAAGGGATCAAAGAAGACTTGACTGACTTTTCATTTGATGAAAATGCAGAATTGTTTTAGAGAAATTAATTCTTATTTTGGGCCCTTTTAAAAAAAAAAAACTCAATTTGTATCTTTTGTTGCTTTTTTGGTCTAGGCCTTGACATGAAGAGTAATTTTATGGTCTGATAATTATTTAATTGTTAAGCATTTTAGTGCTCATGTAGCACTGTGAAATGGCAAATTGTTAAGCAATATGCATTATATATATATAAGAATAAAATTCCCTTTCTCTTGATTTTGTTTTCTTAGCTTTCAAAATCTTGATTGGGATCATAAAATAATATGGAATGTGTGTTTATCTCTGAAAGATTCACAGGCTAATTTACAATGTCCAGATTGATTCTTGAAAGATTCATAGATATTCTGGATTAAATGCGAAACATGCTTGTAAAGAAATGTTGCCTTTGGATACTTGCACTTAATTCCCTTTCTCAGCATAGATCTTTATGTCCTCAATTTTTTTTATTTTTTTATTTTTAATTGTGTTTCGAAATTTTTAAGTCTAATATAATAGTAATTAATTAAGAGTAAGAGATGTGTTGGCAAGCACCATCACTTACAAGTATTCTAATTTCTATTAGTTTTTTGAAATCCTGACTTCCCCAAGATGCATATATAGTTCCTGAATTTTACAGTTTTCTTGAATTTGTTACAATGTGCCAACTTGTCATAAATCATAATCCAAAGCAATGATTTCCATAGGATAAATTTCCAAATAGCAAAATTACCTATGAAAAATAAAGTAAGAAAAAATTAAGAATTTAAAATGTGTATGTATTATGGTCATGTTTGTTGGAGCAGACTAGATTAGATGAGATTAACATTATCAATCCCTTTGTCCAGATGGACTATTAGTCTCAACTCCAATTTTCTGATCCAAGTTTTAAATTATGCATTTTATTAGATTATTAATCTAATCTCAAGGCTAAGTCTATCCAAGCAAACATGACTTAAATTCATTATACGTGTAGTTCATGTGCACCAAATTTAAATTTACATTATATTCAAATTGTAATTATTTTTTAAAATATTTTTTCTGGGTACACAATTTTTTTATTTTATTTTTGAATGCCCAAGCAAAAATTAATACTCCTTGCAAAACAACAAAACCCGATGGAGCCAATGGAGAATAATTAATTTTTTTTAACCACCAAGTCATTATTTCAACTATTTTTTCTCTTTTTCTTTATAAATTTCTTACCAAATACATTATCCAAATATAATCTTAGAAAAGAGACTACAAAATCATAGATATTTGTGTTTGAGAGATGTGTTTTAGAGATAAAAAGTACGAAAACATGTTTGGTTTAGTTTTTTTTAAAAGATGTTTTGGAAAATTATTTTGAGATAGAATTTTGGAAAAAGTGATTGATTTGATATGTGTGAGAGAGAGATTTGTTTGGAAAACTTGTTTGGTTTACAAGTTTTGAGAAATTTTTTTGGAAAAATTTGTTTGGTTTGATTATTTTTGAAAACTTATTTGTAGAGAAAATTTCCCAAAATTTTTTCAGAAAATCAAACCAAACGAGCCCTAAATTTTGAAGGTATCAATACATCAGTATAATAACATGCAAGGTGGGTCCCTTAAATCAGTCCCATAACGCATCAAATAATAGGTTAAAGAGTATGTTATTGGGTCCGAGAATTGATCTAACTCTAAACCAACCTTACATGACAGCTATCCATTGAAATTTGGTAGGTGGGCGGGATCACCGATTACTTACAATCTTTACAGCACCCAACAAAATCTACATCACTCGGTTTAGTAAAAATCCACTTATTTAATCGGATAATGTATCATTTTCCTGCCCAATATTTTGACCCGAAAAGATTATGCACTAGATTTCCTAGTTGGTAGGGTAACTTGTGTGAGCGAACAAGGATCAAAACTCAACTCACACTCATTGCACAATAATATTTAGGGTTTTACTATATCAAACAGTAAAATCCTAAATATTTTTACCCTTCGAATTTCTCTCATTACGTTTTTCTTTCCTTGCACCTGTAAATTTCATATTTTTAATGGAATTTTTCTTTGACGATCAAAAAAATATATATATTTAGGGTTTTACACTAGTAAAAAATTATCATAAAATTAAGCATCTTATCTAGTTCTGTTATTAAATTCTGTTATAACAAACTAAGACTATATGAAGTAAAATAAGGCCTATTTTAACAATTGAGTTAAAAGTTAGTTTTTCGACTTTTTGACTTTTTTGAATTATATTATCCCTCCATTTTAAAAAAAAAATTTAAAAAAGTTATAAAACTGACTTTAAATCTACTTTTCAAAATAGACGAGGCTTAAAAAAACAACTTAATAGAGTGACTATCTTTTATCTCATTTTTTTACACAAATTAATAGGATTCACATTAATAAATATATAAATGATTTGTAACATTTTTTTAATAAAATATGCACTGTACCCACTATTAATTAGGCCAAATATAAAATTTTAAATTTAAAAAAAAAAAGAAAAAAAAAAGGCTATTCGATGAGGTCTAAAAATCTACCACCAAAAGGATGGAAATGATGATGAGAGAGACCAAAACAGAAAGTGAATGTTGCGTTGTTACAAGTTACAGCAATGGTATGGTCACATGAAACCCCTTTGGGTGAGCAAAGTCACTTTAGTTAGCGCCTTTTTTTTTCTTTCTTTTTTTTCGTTCCTTCCTTTGAGATATTGCTGGACTCGGCGTGGCTTGGCTCATAAATATTCTTTTATTGGATACATAGGGATTATTTGTTATAGTTTTTAGAATAGCTTATTTTGATTTAGAATTTTGTACCAGATTATTTGCTGTAATTTTTATTTATAGTTAATTAGACAGAAATAATTTAAATAAATTGAAAAAAAATTGATAATTTAAAAGTTAGGATGGAAATGCTATTTACTTAAAAAAAAAAAAAAAAAAAAAATTCCACCAGGCCATATATAGAGGGTGTCTGTTTCAGCTTTTCAGAGTCAACTTATGGATTTTGGCTTTGAAAAAGTTATTTTGAACTGTTTGATTAAACTTTTTTCAAACAGCTTCTGATTCTAACAGTTTATTTTAATTCAAAAAAGTTGATTCTGAGAAGCTGCTCACCTCTTACTTCTGATTATCAGTTTCTGCTGTGGACATGTTAATTTATGAGTATACTCCTAAATTTTTTTATTTTTTATTTTTTTAAAAATAGAAAAAGATTCAAATGGACTATAAATTATTATTATTTTTTATGAGAAATGTAGACAAATAAAAAATAAAAATTAATTAAAAAAGTTATTTCACAACTTATTTAACAAACACTACTTAATAACTTAAATCTATAATCTAACAGTTACATCAAATAAATTAATATCTTTTGATTAAAGTCATAATTTATAATCTATTAACTTTGTTTACATCAAACGAGCCATTCTGTGGAAAAATCTGAGGGCAGGATTTGCATTGGAAAGCTGCAGCTTGGCCTTAAATGCACACATGAGAGAGCTGTTTGTTTTGATTTTTTACAAGTAGGACCGGTAGTTTGATCTGACCATGCAAGTTAAGTAGCCAAAGCTGTAAAGGCATAAGCCCCTCATGAGTACCATTACCAATTGACTGCATAAAGGATTGTTTTTTTTTTTGGGAAAAAAACCCATTTCTCAGTTGCTTTATTTATTTATTTATTATTGTTATTTTTTTTTGATAGGGTTACTAGTTTTTTTTTTCAATGAGAAATTAACTTTCATCGAATTCATTAATTGGGCTAGAAAGTTCAGTTCATGAGCTGTGGGCTTTCTCCAAGTTTTATTTTGATAATCACAATCATTTATTTTTTGTACTTTTTAAATAAAATATTCATAAAAAAATTAAATTGATCAAATATTAGTAATTGAGAGGGTAATTTGTTTACATCAAACGAGCCATTCTGTGGAAAAATCTGAGGGCAGGATTTGCATTGGAAAGCTGCAGCTTGGCCTTAAATGCACACATGAGAGAGCTGTTTGTTTTGATTTTTTACAAGTAGGACCGGTAGTTTGATCTGACCATGCAAGTTAAGTAGCCAAAGCTGTAAAGGCATAAGCCCCTCATGAGTACCATTACCAATTGACTGCATAAAGGATTGTTTTTTTTTTTTGAAAAAAAAAACCCATTTCTCAGTTGCTTTATTTATTTATTTATTATTGTTATTTTTTTTTGGGATAGGGTTACTAGTTTTTTTTTTCAGTGAGAAATTAACTTTCATCGAATTCATTAATTGGGCTAGAAAGTTCAGTTCATCTGCTGTGGGCTTTCTCCAAGTTTTATTTTATAATCACAATTGTGAGAATATATTTTCTGAGTATCAATACGTGACCAATGTGACGTCGACGTGTCAGCCGATGTGTCACGTGTTCTGATTGTTATGTCGAGGTCATCTCGGATAGGCCGAGGTTATCTCTAAAGATATCGAAATCCGAGATAAGCGGATGAAGGGCAAGAGTCCTAGAATGAGAGAAGACTTTAGTTTGAATGAAGATAAGACTCTTAGAGAGTTTATCCTAATCTTTCTGGGAGTCCAAGATTAGCAGTAATTCTAAGTCCATTGGAGCTAGGCTTCTATTGGGACTAGCATTATGTTGGCTATAAAAGAGAGGCACCCTCATGCGTCTAAGGTATGTCTTTTTATGCTCAAGCTAGTGAGTTTAGCACTATTGATTATCTTTGAGAGATATTGAGTACTGACTTGATCGTCGGAGTGCCCCCGGGTGGACGAGCCACCGCAGGATTTTCATCTTTCTGTGACAGGTCGTTTAGGCTTAATCTATTTTGCCGGTGTTCTCCAGTTGAGTACTAAGTTGGCAGTGTGGTCAGAAAATCACTCACACAATTTGGCGCCGTCTGTGGCAAAGAAAGAAGAATAGATAGCCAATGAAAGAAAGAATAATAGATGGCCAATGAAAGAAAGAAGAATAGATGGCCAATGACGGACAGAAGGATCAGATTGGAGACAACGCTCCTGCTAGGAGTGGGGAACCTATCAACCTCGACGTTGAAGGGGACAACCGCAACACAGAAACTCGTGACCAAAGTCACGGAGTGAAAGACACCGGCCAGAAAGGTGACGCACCAAAGACAACAGATCGAAGCGGATACTACAACGAAGATGACCTCTAGTTATGGAAGGATAGATACCTGCGGAGGAACGAAGACCCTTCTAGAAGGGATGCAAAGACAGGGGGCATGAACGCTCCCAAGGAGATAACATTCAAGTATAGAAGAACTCATCCTA